GAAACAGCAAAGAAATCCCCTTTTCTCCACCCCACCGCAGGACCAGGAACTGAAATAGCGCAGACTTAGGGAACTTAAGCTTCGGCGGCCGCGCACCCCTCCTCTACTCCCCCTCCCCCCCTTTTTTTCTTTTCGCCTAGTTACTTATTTTACCGCTTCGGGGTTACTCATGTTTGGGTCCACATTTGCAGCTGTCCAATTAGGAGTACTTTTGTGCTCGAAGATTTTTCTCCTCTCTTCCCCCCACAGTAGGTCTAACAAAGCTCTTCACCGCCCCCGCCCCAGCTCCTGTCGGTCCCCATCTTCGTACTCCCAGGTCATGCCCCTCTCCCACCTCCTACCCTCCGCTCCTTGACTGCTTGCCTGTGTGAACATGAATAATTCCACAGCACTTCCCATCTGTTATTGCCATAGAGACAGAAGCTCAGCAAAGATAATGATGTTCTGTGCAGAGCCAGTGGGGGGAGAGCAGCATCTGCGAGTCTGGAGGAATAGATGTTCTAACCGCCAGAATATTCAGAGGCCTGCCTGGAAAGCCGAGGTGAAAGCCAGCACAGTCCTGAGACTAAGCACCTGGTCACCTTGCACCTGGCTCTGAATGTAGCCAGAAGAAACAAATTTAGAAAGCAAGATAACTGTGTGTGTGAGTGTGTGTGTTTAAGCCATTCTGAAAGTTCAATTAGTGCTAAGTATTTAGTAGTCCTCTTACCACCCATAAAAGTAATTACTTGCTAGCATGGCCAAAGGCCTAAGAAACAAAATTAGTTGAACAACAGACTTTTTAGAAAAATCAAATACATTTTCTCTCTGTTCTTTTGCTCCCTCCAGGAATCTGTTTTTGAGGGATCTTTGTGTCTGTGATAACACTTGAGAAACATAGTCACAGCCATGTTGCTAGAACCAAGCTTTGGGGGCATTTTCAGCATTATTCTCAATTACAAAATAAAATTCATGTTGCCCTTGAATTCCCAAGGTCTCAGCCTAAAGGTACAGCTTGGTTGTGAACCTAAGCAGAGCTGCCTGCAGAACTTTGCTGCAGATGGGTAGGCCCTTTCTAATCCACGTCTTTGAAGACTACTTCAGGATTTTCAGTACTATCAGTAAATGTGTAAATGTAAAATTAGGGCTGTGGATACAGCCTAGTTGAGAGTGCTTGCTGGCACAGTGTCTTGGGTTGAACCATAGTACTGCATAAATAGGTAATCCTATCATTCAGGAGGTAGAGGCAAGAGGATCAGAAGGTCAGAGTCCTCCTCAGCTATATAGTAAGTGGCTAGCGGGCACTACAAATAGACCGTGTCTCAACAAAAGATCATTTCTTTTAAAGACACTGAAAGCAGATGATGATGGTTCATTATTCCAGAAACAGATCTGAACAGACAGATAATATACAGGTTTTAGGAAAAATCATGGGGGTTGGGGAGAGTTCATTTGTGTAGTGTCTACTATACAAGCATGAGACCTACATGAAATCCAGGCACAGAAGTGTGCATCTGTAACCCCAGCTGAGGTGTGGCTGCTCTTGGCCAACACTTAGTCTGAGTATGGATGAAAGGCTGGAGATTTGGATAAATGACTAGATGCCTGGTTCACTTTCTGAGAGAATGTCTCTCACCTTTATTGTGGAACAGCCTTATATACAAACTTACAAAAACCCCAGGTCAAAGGGTTCACAACAGGATATTGATCCTAGTGGGGTGAGGTCAGGAAAACAGGAGGTACCTGTGGTTATGCTGGAAAACAAGTCTTAGAGACCCTGTGAGGGCTGGGTTCCAATACTGAGGTAAAACAGATTGGCAGAGTTCAGCCACCACCCTAACTGGATCCATAAGCTCCAGGCTCAGTAAGAAATCCTGTCTCAAAAAGTAAGGTGGAGGGGCCATCTTGTTCTTTCAAAGGACCACACAGTGGTTCACAATGGTCTGTAACTCCAGTTCCAGTGCATCAGATGTCCTCGAGCACCTAGCATACACGTGACATACATATGTACATACATACATACATGCAGACCAAACTCTCCTAAAATGAAATAAGGTGGAAAATAGTCAAGGAAGATGTCTTAGTCTTTGTTCTTTGCTGTGAAGAGATACCATGACCAAGGCAACTCTTAATAAAGTATTTAATTGTGGGATTGCTTACAGTTTCAGGGGCTTAGTCCATTACCATGGCAGGAAGGAAGCATGGCATCAGGCATGGCAGGCAGGCAGGCAGGCATGGTGCTGGAGAAATAGTTGAAGGCTACATCCTGATTCACAGGCAAAGTGAGAGAAACTAGGCCTGGCTTGGACTTTTAAAACAACAAAATCCATCCGCAGTGACACACTTCCTCTAACAAGACCTCACCTACTAATACTTCTAATCAGCTCTGGTCCCTGGTGACTAAG